GAAACGTTTCCGGCAGCGTATTTGAAGGTTTATGACCCTATCATCACGCAGTGCCTTAGATTTCTCTGCGGTGTCGGACTTGCCGAGTGTCATCAATGCCAGTTTTCCTGCAATGCTCAGCTACGCTGACCCAGATTATTGGCTGGGTGCACTTCTGCTCGCATTCGAGTCCCGCCAAAAAGGTCCCCTGGAGCGTACGGCAGGGCTGCCCATTGTTATTGGTTTTCCTGAATCTGACAATAAAATTACTGACCTGCAGATCAATGTGCCGCCTGCAGCCATGGTGGCCTTCTTGGCTGGCCGCGCTTATCGGTGTCCCACGTGCCCTACTACCAAATATGTGATGGACGCGCACAGTGGACTGCCACAAGTCACTGGCCAAGCCTCCCAAGAAGCCTTGCAGGCATGGGCCGCAGCTGCTAAGCACACGGACGTGGAAACGGCCAGGCTTGCCCAGCCCAGCCTGAATACGTTCCTAGGCATCACGCTGCAGGGCACACAGACACTTGGGCAAAGGCACTATCAAGAATTTAGGCCGGACCTCCCCCCTGCCCATTTCCTTGACGCCATCCGGCTTGCTCTTGCGGCCTCGGTGGCCAACCAAAACATTGAGCATTTTTGGTCAGTTTTTAACTTGGAATGGCCTGACACTTCTCACAGAATGGCTGTTTTTCTACGGCGAGTGTTGCCCCTAGAGTGCTTGCTCTCCTCGCCCTGTGCTGCGCCTGTGGAAGCGAACACTGCAGCAACCTCGCCGGAGGTCGTCAGCATCTCTTCCGAAACTAACGAAGGCTCTCCCTGCCCGATGGATGACATGTCAGACGCGGAGGACGAACCCGAGGCACAGGTGAATGATTGGCGCTTCTCGGAGCTGCGAACCACTGACCTTGCAGCTTTGCGAGAAGTGGATGTCTCCGCCCCTTTCCGGCTGCCAGTCATCTTTGATGCGCATTGGAAAGGGATCAGCACCACACCCACCAAGCATGGGCCCCAACGTCCCCAAAATGCGTGGTATGACGCAGCCACTGCTCATTGGGCTGCCATTAAGGGGCTCATGCGAGCCAAACATCCAACCAAGCAGCGCCTCAACAGCTTCTGGTTTAGGATGTACTGTCATGGCACCCCCAAGGACCCTGATCCTTCGGCCCTGCGTGCTGCAGTTACCTCCTTCCCCTTTCAGTATAAGGACGAAGGTGTTGTGCAGTACAGGCAAATCCAGGAAGCTGTCCGGGTGATGTGGCACGCGGCCCAAACCTCAATGACAAGATACATGCGTATCCCCATTCCGGACGGCATCCCTGAGTGGGGGGTTGATGAGCAAGAGCTGCCTCCAATGCAGGTCATGCCCAGCCGAGGGAGGCGTTCCCATACCACCTCAGCTGGCCATCGCTCCCGGCGTCCGGACTGGGATGGCTCCTGGCAATAGACAGCAAACTGTCATCTGAGGGCTCCTACTGACGCCATGCGAACGCACCATTGAGTCCTTTCATGGCATGCTGCCTAGCGTGATGTGAGCCCTCACATCTCCTCACCGATACATGCCGCAAGACTACCTCGGGATACTCTTGGTTTGGCAACCCTCTCGTGGTCTATGCCACGGATTGGATCGTGCTTGTCTTTTGTGTGCTTACAGCTTGCAGCTGTGAACACCCTTCTGGGTCGGCCCCGCGGTGTGCCTGTGGGAACGGGGGGCCTTTCTTTCGTGGTTGCTCCACTGGCCATCTGCCACGGACTACCCTGGACCGGTCCTGCCTGGATGTTCCAGCTTTGTCATCGGTAAAACGGCCAATCTTCCTTTCCTCTGCCCCCTCTAGGTGGGCAGGTTGCCCGCTTCTATGTGCTACGACCGTGTGTGAACCCCTCGGACTTGAGTGTTGACCATCTCTCGTCTGGACGGTGACACCCCCTTGTCGTACAACGGCGTCATGCCAATTGGGAGAGACCAGCTAGGGGATGCTGCTTCTGGGCTGTGGACACTTCTACGCGGAGATCAGGTTTCCACTTCCCTGGCAATGTGCCATCGAGCACCTGTGGACAACCTGGCCTTCACGAGAGCCATTCTCGCCTGTGCTTGGGTTGCTGCGGGGTTCCCTGCCTGCTTGGGTGTATATCTCTGCTTGCGTCAAAGCAGCCATACATGACTACCTCCCCATCGGTAGGTGGCCAAGCGTGATGTGAGCCCTCACATCTCCTCGCCGACGTCTGTCGGTTTGGGCATGGAGGGTCTGATTCTGGTTATTGAACCCTCAACCCTCACCGGCCAAGGAGATAGTTGCTTGGCCTTGAGTGCGAAGTTTCGACTGGGGGACTCTCCCGCTTCCTGCGGGGCAGGTGGGGTCCCCGCCTGCTTGGGTTTACCTGATGGCTCTGATTGGAACGAAGCAGTCAAGCCTGCTTTGGCCGTCGGACGAGACTCTTGTGAGTCAAAAGAACGTTGCGCCTTGTGCTCGGAGAGGCTCCACTGGCTGACCACCATGGAGTGCTCTGGGCTGGTCCTACCCTTTGTTCTTGCCGTTAAGTCCCCACTGGCTGACCACCATGGGGCAACTTTATACTTCGGATCAAGAAGGTTGACACCTGCAACGTCCCGTGCCAAGGCACGACTATGCCCCACCTGTGATGGCGGACTTGTGAACCTTCTCGTGAACGGCCTTGGCTGGTGCTGAATGTAGTCGCATCGGTGGCTGCATGATGGTGGTTTTGTGAATCTGGCAACGTCGCCTTTTGCGACGCACCTGCGCACTCGGTGCTACATGTGTGCTCCCGGCCTCTTCGACGATTTCGAGTACTGAGTGCACAGGGTGACCTAGCAGTTCGGCGCGCTGGCTGTGGACACTTCTACGTGGAGATTATGCACCCGCTGACTTGGCAGGGAGCCATTCCCCACTTGTAGAACAACCTGGCCCTCTTGAGACTCTAGAGGGTCACCCTCGTCTGAGCTTGGCCTGCGGCAGGGCAAGTGGGCTCCCCGCCCGCGTGGATGTTACCTGAAGGCTCTGATTGGATCAAAGTAGCAATACCATGGAGATCCTTGCACTTCGGCACCAATGTGATGTGAGCCCTCCCATCTCCTTACCGACGTACCTCGCGGGTTTGGGTTTGGAGGGACCTGATGCGTGCCGATGCGCAGGCCAGCGCCAAGGTTGCGTGGCCTTGTGTGAGATGCCTGGACTGGGAGGTTCCTCGTTGTCATTATAAACCCTGTGGCGTTAAGGGTTTGGTAACTCGCTGTGGACTCTCCCCGTGGAATCGGTAGCTGCAGCTACTCTCGCCCCCCCTCTGGCCGTGCGCGGGCACCTCTCTGGGTGGGCACTTGTACGCCAGGTTGACTGGAGAACCCTGTGCTCGGAGCTACTCCACTGGCTGACCACCATGGAGTGCCCTGGGCCGGTCCTGCTTTGATTGTTCTTGCTGTCAAGTCCCCACTGGCTGACCTCCATGGGGCATATGCCCCCTGTGCCGGGCGCGGACACCTCTCTGGGTGGGCACTTGTACGCCAAGGTGAATGGAGCACCCAGAGCTCGGAGCTACTCCACTGGCTGACCACCATGGAGTGCCCTGGGCCGGTCTTGCCTTGATTGTTCTTGCTGTTAAGTCCCCACTGGCTGACCACCATGGGGCATATGCACATCTTTCATCCCCCCTAGGGAGTCTGACTTGCAACATCTTTTCGCCATTGAGTGTCGGTTGTCTGTCCTTGACAACGAGTACGTGATCCGAACCTCTTCTGATGACCTCGGTTTGAATAACCGCTGTCGCACCAGTGGCTACATGATGGTGGTTTTGAGAATCTGGCAATGTCGCAATTTGCGATTCCCCCACAAGCTCTGTGCTTCCTTGTGAACCGGGACTTCATTGACGACTTCGAGTACTGAGTCCGTGGGGTATCTAGTAGTTCAGCGCGATTGCTCGCTTTGTTTCTTTGGTGTTTGTTTGCTTGGTGGTTGCTTGGTGTGTCTGGCGGATTGTGTGCGCTGACTTTGTTTCACCCTTTACGTCGAGCCCAACAAGACCGGCCTACTGTGCTACTGATGTAGTAAAGAGGCGTCAGTCCAAAAAAAAAATTCTGCGGGGCCTGGGCAAGATTCTTGCTGATCCGATTTGGGCTGGATGGGCACCCCTCGGACGTGTGGTCCTCATAAAGGGACAGGGCATCGTCTTGGAGGTTGGCGGCCCCGAGTGCAGCATCGGAGTCCAGGCTGGCAGCTAAGGCGAGCGGCGGGCTCAGATCTGGGCTGGGCAGGCGTCTGGCCCGTTTGCTCTCAGAAGTTGGGCTCCAGGAAGCGCGGGCTTAAAGAGAGCATTTGACATATCCAAGAGAAAATGGCTCCGAGCTGGCGAGAAAAACGGCTGCGGCGGCCGAACAGCAGGGCATGTGTGGGCAACTGCGTGAAGCAACGGCAAGTGCTCAGAGCTCAAGGACACAGGAGGCATGCACGCAGAGGTGGGGCTCTTTTTTCCCGGTTAAGTCGATCGAGGAAGAACTTCACCTGGCCAGGGGGGGCAGTAGGTCAAAGGTTGGGCAGAGGGGCGGGGCGTGACTAAAGCAACCCTGGCAGCGGAGCAAATAGGCAATCTGGGCAGGTGCAGGCTTGTGCCTGGAATTCAGGCGTGAAATGGGCAAGCCAGCTTGGGCATCTAAGGCTTGGCAAAGTGCCCCCAAGGCGATTCTCTGTTCCGATCGAATTCGTGGCAGCGGCTGCATTGATGGCGGTCGTGCCGATCAGAATCAGGCTCGTCAGTGTTCTGTGCGCACACTAGGCCGAATGGGCAAAAGGGCTGTGTGCTACAGGGCCTGGCACAGCGTAGGCGCTGGTTGTGGTCCATGTAAAATAGGCGGGTGTCCTCCTCCTAGGCGGAAGGTGTCTGGAAGGCAGACACTAGGCACGATGGTGCATCCGCGAAAGCGCCGATCAGGAGGCTCGGGGATGCAAAGGCGTGGGCATGCGGGCAGCCTGTCTGCGGCAAACAATGCGAGAAATCCTCAAGCCTATGGGCTCTTAGGATCCAGTCCAGATTGCGGAAGGAACACGTGTCGCTCGGCTCACTGCCGTGCCAAGACACTTAGAACTCTTTTGGTTGACAAGAAAGTTGCAAGCGCATTTGAAAGAAAGGCACGAACGCACAACGAAAAGCTCTCCTCTCTGGAAAGTGATGAAAACAAGAAGCTGATTACCAAAGGAGAAAGGCCTACGGTGGGCAGGCTTGCGAGGCTCCTGGGTGTCTCCTCTGTCAAAGTGGAGGCCGAGGAGGTCGGTATCACCGTCAGGCAGGCCCTCGTCAGCTTGGCCGGGCGCCGGTTCGTCGGCGGGCTCCGGGCGGCTCAGCGGCTTGGAAAAAGGGTATGGGCTTGAGAAAACTGAGAAGGCCTCCTGAGACCCAATGATGCCCCGGGCTGCTTGGGACCTGATCTGGTCATAGTCGAGGTGATGGATCATGATGGCCTTGTTGGCGTCCCTGACTATGCATTCTCGGCCGGCTTCAAAGCATGACATGGGCAGGGGCGGTTGCTGGGCAGGCAGGTCGGCCGGGTCTGCCTCTGCAGGCTGAGGCAGTGAGGGCCACCTCTCGAGCACCTCGCAGTGGCTGTCCGAGGCCGTGGAAGTGGTGCCACGTACGGCCTTCGAACACCATCTTGGGCAGATGGTAGGCTTCGTGGGGCCCAGGCTGCGAGGGCTCCGTAGGCTTGGGTCAATGGGCTCCTCGGCTTCTTCGAGGTCTTCCAGGTCCGGATCCGGCAAGGTGCTAGGTCCGGCGTAGTAGGCGGCGCAGGCATCCGTGGCTTCTTCTAGCCTTCCTTTCCAAGGCCGAGGCGTCGGCAGGCAGCTTGCCCCCTGGCGCCCTAGGCAACGGAGGCAAATCTGGGCCCGTGGCAGGCGTCTGAGGCACGGAGTGTGCGATGTGCTCCAGCAGCTCCGTCGGCACGGGGGCCTGGTCACAGCAGAATTTCAACTTGGGCAGGGGGCGTCCGTTGGCAAAGGCTTTGCGGACGTGATTGGCAGTCCATAGGGAGGACGTGGCTGGATTCACGAAGCTCCAATCGGCGGTGGGCTTCTGGGCTGTTCCCTGGTGCAGGGATGGGCGCAGATTGCGGCGCAGAAGCCATCTTGAAGCTCCTGGGCTTGCTGAGGCGTCAGCAGGGCAGTGGCAGTTTGGGCAGGCTGCACCTCGGGGACAGAGTCCCCCACAGAGGAGGCTGGGGCAGGCTCCAGTGGGCAGGACGCCGAGTCGGCGCGGCACGGCAGGCGTGGCAGGCGTAGCTTGTGCGGCCGTCGTAGTAGTAATAATAGGGGGGTAAGAGGGGGGTAAGAAGGGGGCAGGGTAAAAGGGAGCATGTGGGGAGTACATGTACGGTCCACAAATACCATGGCGGAATGCGTGCAGTTGATGAGGGAACCACTAGGCGGCCAGGGTCTTCTTGTCCTTCTTTCACGCCTGAGTTGCTAGAAGGGGGCACAGCAAGCTTCTAGAAAATCCACGTTCGCCGCCCAGTAAGGTGTGCTCAAAGCAATTGAGTACATTTCTCCACGCTTTCCTGAACGGCAGCAGCCCACCCAGGAGGCTTTGCTTGGCACTCTCATCCAGCTGTGCCCAGAGTGCTGCAAACTGGGCAAGGGCAGAGTCCGGTGCGTTGGCCATGGCGGCTGGGACGCAAGGAGGGGCACAACTGAAAGGCTGAAGGCTTGAGGGGATCGCTGACAAAGGCAAAAAAGGAAGAGTCTCCCAACGGCATGTGGCATGCAAAGGCAGCGAACTAACTTGTGCAGCACTCAGACAGAAAGCGGGCCTCGGAAAAGGCTCGGGCTAGGATGGCGGTCATGTACCTGGACAAGCAGGGACACGGGGCATGACGCACACACGCTCACGTTGGTGGGCACGAAGGCATGTAGGCTGGGGAGGCAGCCTGTCCAAACAATCCTTGGGGCCAACTAGTCGTGAGTGCAAACTGATCCAGGCTGACTATAAGCTCCGGGCCCAAGAGACCATGTCCTGGTAGGCGAAGTAGACCACGTACCTGGCGGAGAGGGGTTTGGGCAGGCTTAAGGGCAACAAAGAGGGCTGGGGCACCGATCTGTCTGAGGCGGTCTGTGCAATCCGGCGGCTGCAAGCTGGGCTAGCAATCCGAGGCGGATGTGCTGGAGCCAATTTCGGGCTCTGAAGAGGAGCGGCTGGGCGGCATGGGCAGGCGAGCAAGGTACCACCTGCAGTCCGAGGCAGTCCACCAGTCAATGGCTTGCAAATGGTGCTGTGAGGCATGTTGGAGAGGATATGGCTGAGGGAGGCCAGGCAGCGCCAACGCACAAGTGGTGGAAGGAGGGCCGCGACAGGCAGGCCGTGCAGCGCGAAGACATGGGCATGTGTGCGCTGAAAGAGCATTGTCTGCGGCATCGGCGTTTTGGTACCGTGTGCAAAAGGTGCGCATGGGCGGCGTGAAGGGCGTGGCGACCCCGTGGCGGGGCCCTGCAGGCAGGGGGGGCAGGATCTGGGCGGCGTTGCTCAGTAGGTGCTGAGGCGGCGGGGCCTTAGTAGGCTGAGGCGTGGGCAAGGCGGGCTGCATGGGGGGGGCGCTAGGCTCACCCGCGACGCGAGAGGGCATGGCTGTGATAGAACTCGTCGTGGGCGGACGAGGCTGTCGGGTCCGGTGCTGTGTCGCTGCTGTCTTCCGTGCAGCTCCACGAGGGATCCGTGTTCCATGAGCAGTGATATTCTGGGCTTGCCATGGGCGAGTAGGCAGCGAGTGGTCCGAGGAGAATCTGGAGCCAAAAGGAGCTGCCGGAACATCACCTGGGCGGGATTGTTAGGAGGGGCTTGAGGCGGTTCGGGCTTCTGGGCAAAGGAGGCTTAGGGTGAGGTCTCTGGCGGGCGTGTGGCTTTGGCCCACGAGTTTGCAGGCTGAGACCAGGCGTAGAGACGATCCCTGGGCTAAGGGGCTCGGGCAGGGCATTAGGGGTTAAACCCGGCTGCAAAGTGCACGTGGCAAGGCTGTGCCTGAGTCGCTCGGCGTGGCTGCCAGAGCACGGCTGGGCACAGCTGTCACCAAAAGCGCTGCATCAAGGCGTAGAGCAAGTTGGGGGAGCATGCTCAGTAAGAGTCCCTGTGAGGTGGGGACATTCCCCAGAAGACGGCTCGTGGGCCGTGAGCAGGGCTGTCAGCGTGCTCTGTAAGAGTCCCTGTGCTGTGGGGACAGTCCAAAGAAGACGGCTCGTGGGCCGTGGGCAGGGCTGTCACCGTCACCGTAGGCGTCTTCTTCTGAGGCACAGGCAGGCTGCCTGTGTGGCTGCAAGGCATGGCGCAAGGCTCGGTGAAGATGTCCGCTGCGAAGAAGTCGGGCATCCAGTGGGAGCGCAAATTGGGCCAGCCCCTCAAGCAGAGAATGTACACGATATTGGGCCACGGCGGGCCAGAGGGCGTGTTGAGCGGCAGCTAGGGAATGCCGTCGTAGGGCGATGCGCTTTGATGTCATTAGGCCGGCCAGGGCCGAAGATGGCACCAGAGGCACTATGAGCTGTCCATATAGGCATGGGACGGTTCGAGGCCATGGCGCGGGCGACTCTCTGGGCAAGGCAGAGAGGAAACACCGGTCTTACAGGGGGCTGGAACCTCTAGAAAGAAGCTAAGGGCGTAGAGGCCTCGAAGAAATGCTCACACACTATGCACGGCCCCAACACGGGTTAGGTCAGGGCCAGCTGAGCCAGGAGTCAGCTGGGCATGGGCAGACATGGGTGGTCATGATTCGTGCGTGTCAAAACACCTGGGAACAAAAAACCCCAGTGCTTTTAAATTATAATTTATTGAAATTATTTCGGGCCTCAAGTCCTGCACTTCTCTGCTACAGTTGCCCTTCTACCGGTTTCCCCACCCAAGATCTGTGGCTACAGGTAAGGCACACTCGAACCTTACCTGGGGTCAAGGAGCCAAGATCCACAGCCGCTCCCACCCTTGCGGGTGGACAGTTGCCTCCGGCGCCAACCAGCGGTGTGCAGGACCAGCCCAGGGCGCCCCATGGTGATCAGCCAGTGGGGCAGCCCTAAGCAACAACATCGAAGAACTTTATGATAGCTCTGCCACAGCGGGTGCGACATGGCACTCGAGACTTACAACCGGTATCCATGCCACTTGATCACTGTTAGGCGCCATCCCAGCCGCTCTTCCGGCGCCACCCTTGTTCTTCAAGAAATATTTCTGGAGGCCGCCTTCAGGCCTTTTGCTTCCTTTTTTTGGACCGATGCCTCTTTACTACATCAGCAGCGCAGTAGGCCGTTCTTGTGGGTCTCAACACTAGGGGTGAAACAGAACAGGTGCGAAAACCAAAGCAAACACACACCAAAACCACCACAACGCAACCACCAACCCGCAGCAACCCGCAAGACCAAAGCACCAAACGTCAATGTGTCCCCCGCGCTCAGTACTCGAGGTCGTCGCAGAAATCCAGGTGAAATCGAGCAGCGCAGAGCATGCGGGGGGGTCGCAAAATGCGAAGGTTTGCCAGATCATCAAAACCACCATCATGTAGCCACTGGTGCAAAGAAGGTCAGCACGGAAAGCTGTAAATCGAAGAAGGACAGCAAAGTTACCAACCGACACGGTCAGGTACCAGGCACACAGTAGCGAAAAGGGAAGGTACAAATTGGCCAACTTTCCCAGAGGAGAGGCAAGGCCAGCACGCGCCCCACGGTGGTCAGCCAGTGGGGACTTGTTAGCAAGAACCACGGACGCAAGACCAGCCCAGGGCACCCCATGGTGGTCAGCCAGTGGAGCAGCCCGGAGCAACAGCCGACACAACTTGCGGCTCTATTATTGAAGCCCGGCCAATTCTCCCAACACCAGGCGCACAACTGTGCCCAGTCTGACCACATTCCCAAGTAGAAACTGGGGCCGCAGTCAGCAGGGCGCCCCAAGCTTCCCAGGGAGGAAGCCTGCGAGTAGCAGCAGCTACCGATTCCGAGGGGAAAGACTACCAGACAGCAGTCAAACCCTCACTCTAGCCTGCAGCAAAAGAGAGGCCAGCGCGCGCCCCATGGTGGTTAGCCAGTGGGGACTTGACAGTAAGAACGAGGATGCAAGACCAGCCCAGGGCACCCCATGGTGGTTAGCCAGTGGAGCAACCCCGAGCAACAGCCAGCACAGAATGCGGTTCGCGAATTGGAAGACCAACTACCCAGAGTTCCCAACATCCAGGCGCACAACTGTGTTCATGCCCTTTTCCACGGTCCGGCGCTATTAAGCGTTTGCTTTAGCAATGCTGCTGGAAGCGTGGCATTGAGGCCGCATGTTTTTTGCTCCAAAAGCTCCGTCACATAGTGGTAATTCGGTCGGGATCCTCCCGCCCGCTGCCTGGTGTTGGAGCCGGATGTGCCCAGCTGCTGTGCTTCCTGAGCAGAAGCTCCACATCCTTCAACCTGTTAATGAGCACCGAGTATGGGAAGCTGAGCCGAGCAACTATAGTCCCATGTGTCGCTGCAACTAACAATCACCGGAACGCATCATGTGCGTCAAAAAGAAGCTTGTAGGTATTCTTTTCCTTCCTGGCCGGGACGCGAATGATGCGACTGCGGACGAAATCGTGGCTTGCAGCGGTTAACCGATCAACGGCTTCGATGTAGGCTCGCACTGACTCGTTGCCATGTGCGGTGTAAAGGGTGAGTCTGTTGGTCAGGCAAGCAACAAGTACTCCCAGGAACGCACACGAGCGTGTTTTGCCGCTGCCGGGGGCACCAGTAATGAAGACAGAGGAGCGATTGGCACCCAAACCGTACTTCAGGCCTTTTGCTTCAAAAGCGTCAAAGTTTCCCCTTTTAAAGCTCCCTTAAATTCGAATTTGACCAATCTAGGAAGGTTCGAAATTCAAATAATTTAAATAATTTGGGCCTCCAACATTTAAATTGTTTTTTTGTTTAAATTCTGGACCTTCTCCAGAGACAATGAGAAAAAACACGGGACGGTACAGGCTGGTGTGTGCTGTTGAGCTTGCAGTCTGAGCGGTGGACTGGCCAAAAGCGTTAGACAGCCGCTTCTGCAAACAGGCTTCCTTGTTTATAAAACTAATTTGTGAAGCGGATTTTTTCTTTAATTCTGGGCTTGGCCCAATTTGAATTGTTCAAATTGTTGAAATTTACATAATTGATTATTAAAAACGAGAGGCTCGAAATTATTTAAATTATTTGAGTGATTTAAATTTAGGTGGAATTTGAACAATCTAATGTTTTATTGGTAAAGAGGCGTCCGCTTGAAAAAAATGTTTCGTGTGTGTATATGGAGAGTTTTTTTCCTCTGACTGATGCTGTTATGGACACTTTGGGATCACAGTTTATCGAGAAAGGGTGGATTGGACGAAACTTGCTGGGAATCACGCGGCGGAATATGCATTGAAACTGAGAATTTTCGCATAGAGAAGCAGCGGAATTTTGGGGGGAGTGTGCTTGTATGAGAATTTTCGCACAGAGAAGCAGCGGGGTTTTGAGGGACTGTGCTTGTAGGAGAATTTTTGCACCAGCGGGGTTTTGGAGGGACTGTGCTTGTGTGAGAATTTTCGGACAGAGAAGCAGCGGGGTTTTGGGGAGATTGTGCTTGCATGAGAATTTGAAACAGCGGGGTTTTGGGGGGACTGTGCTTGATGAGAATGTTCGCACAGAGAAGCAGCGGGGTTTTGGGGGGACTGTGCTTGTATGAGAAATTTCGCAGAAACAGCGTTGTTTTGGGGGAACTGTGCTTGTATGACAATTTTCGCACAGAGAAGCAGCGGTTTCGGGGACTGTGCTTGTACAAGAATTTTCGCACAGAGAAGCGAGGTTTTGGGAGACTGTGCTTGTATGAGAATTTTCGCACAGAGAAGCAGCGGGGTTTTGGGGAGACTGTGAGAAATTCCAGGCCCGATTGGGCAGGATTTAAGTGCAGTTTTGATTTATTCAATGCATGGTTGGAGTTGGGGTTGTTTTCGGAGCCAATGATGCTCGTGATGCTTCTGTCGGAGGAGGCTTGTGAGATGCTTGCATGTTCTGCCTCCTGGGCGCAGCCTCTGAAAGTTAATGCTGCAACTTGGACACCTTGGCAAGCTCTTGGGGCTTGCGCTGCAACAGGGGGTTTGGACATGGGACATTGCATTCTCGCTCATCTTAAGGTCAAAAGAAAAGCGCAGAACTGCGCACGGCGTGCGAGTGCAAGTCTCCGAAGTGTTCTAGCTGTTACCAACCAGTGGAGCCTGCACCCGACAGGCTCAGGCAAGCACCTTAGCGTTTTCGCGTTTTTTCAGCCAACTGCTTCCATAAGCTCCAAGGGGGCAAGAAGGTGTTTGCTTCACAAGCATCTTGTTCTACGGAGCAAACTTGGAAAGGTCGAGCAGGCCAAAGGGGGGGAACTTGGGCCTTTGTGCACGGCGCCTGCAATCATTGCCGGGATCCAGTATCAAGCGTTCCAGGAGCGGACTGCTGTATGTGTAGCTCCAAGTTCATAAAAATGTCCCATTTTTTCTTCAGCGTTCCAAGACCGTGAGAGTGCGTGCGTACTTCTGTTCCCAAAGCCTTTCCCTTAAAGCTGCCTGTTTGTCGATGCGGTCTCACCCCGCCTTCTGACGCTGGCTGTAAGATTTTGTGGGAAAACGTACTGTTATTTGGTGTGACTTGATCGACCACTTTTCAGAAGTAATCTCGGTTTCTTGCAGACGCCGGTGCCGATGGGCACGACACAGTGCCTCGCACAGTCCAAAAAAGAATGATGTCCTGATTTGCTTGCTGAGCAGGCACCTTTTTGAGCCAGTTGTGGATGAAAGCGGTTTTGTTATTTGCTGATGTCGTGACGGGGATTGTCAGGGTGTGAGACTGTATGGTGGTGATTGTAGCTAGTGCTCTGCACTCTTGTTGTGAAGCTGCATCTTGTCCTTACAACACCTTATCGAAAGTCGCTCCACCGCACCTTAAGCTCCTGATCTAGACGAATGTTTTCTTTTGCAACGTTTCGGCGTGCCTCAGAGCCAACAATGGGTTCTCAGCATAGAAAGTCATGGTCTTACGGTGCACGCGATTTGTTTTTGTTGGAGGAGGTTGTTTGCACCATTGTGTTGGGACACGGTGCTTGCCAGTTGTTCTGTTGGAGTTGGTTAAAAGGCCTTGGGGACACGGCACTTGCGACTTTCGAAGGTCTTATTGTTCACGACAATAAACATCACCATGAAATTTCTGGTTCAAAATGCCATCAACATTAAAAAAAATGCTATGCGTATCTCTTTGTCTTGCTACTACTGCTACGACTAATGGCGAAACCAAATCAAATATGGCAAACGGTCCCTAAGCACAAACCCTTGAACCCCTAAACCTTAAACCCCGAGGCCAACTCTGCGCCAACGCAGCGCCAGAGTTGAGCTTTGCTGAATGCATCAGTGAGAGTATCTCTGCCCACGCCTAAACCCTAAACACCAAACCCTTTCAATGTCTTGAAGCCATGGCGCCCATTCTGAGCACAAAGAAAGCATTTTTCGCCGAGTTGCAGGATGGCCAGCTCCTCGCCTGGGGAGCCCCCACCCACGGCGGTGACATCAGTGACTCGGCCATTGGGAGAAATGATATGTTCCTGATGTAGGAAGATTCTCAGAGGGTTCAAAGGGCCAACCTAGGTGAAGTGAAGTCCACACTGGAGAGCGTGGGCGTGCAGGGAGCCTGGAGCAATGAGGCTGCTTTTCTTACCTTGCTCAAGAATGGCCAGTGGCTTGCATGGGGACAAGTGCGGACCGGCGGCGACATAAGCGGCGTGAAACCCACACTTGACAGCGTGGGAGTGAAAGGACTCTGGCACACTGGTTGCGCCTTTCTTGCCGAGCTAAAGGATGGCCAGTTCCTTGCCTGGGGATTGAGCACTCATGGTGCCGACATCAAAGCTGTAAAGCCTGCACTGGAGAGTGTGGGAGCGAAAAGAGTCTGGAGCAATCAGGGTGCCTTTCTCGTGGAACTCAAGAACGGCCAGTTCCATGCCTGGGGAATGGCACAGTGCGGCGCCGACATCCGTGCGGTGAAGTCTGAACTGGAAAGCTCGGGAGTGAAAGCGATCTGGAACACGAATTCCGCCTTTCTCGCAGAGCTCAAGGACGGTCAGTTCTTTGCTTGGGGAAATGAAAAAGATGGCGGGGACATGATCAGTGCGGTGAAGTCCACATTGGAGAGTGTGGGTGTCAGAAGAGTTTGGAGCAATTCCTTTGCCTTCCTTGTCCAGCAGAAGGACGGCCAGTTCCTTGCCTGGGGGCGTGGGTCAAACGGCGCCGACATCAGTGCCGTGAAACCAATGCTGGACGTGGGAGTGCGCGGAATCTGGAGCACCAACGAGGCCTTCCTCGCTTCTCTCAAAGATGGCCAGTTCATTGCATGGGGAGATGCAGCTCACGGTGGCAACATCAGTGATGTGAAGCCCGCACTAGAGACCACGGGAGTGAGAACTGTCTGGAGCACGGGGCATGCATTCCTCGTCCAGCTCAAGGATGGTAAGTTCCTGGGCTGGGGACCTGCGATTTCCGGTGGTGACGTGCGCGGCGTGCAGCTCGCACTTGAGACGGTGGGACTGACTCAACGTGTCCGAGGCTGGGCCCACCCAGATGTACCCGGAATGAGCGAGTGTCAACATCCCGCATGCCCCACTGCAGTTCCAGAAGCGTCACGAAACCCCTGACACCCATGCACCCGTCTTCAACATCGATCCAAGCCAACAGCTTGCCCAAATGTGTGCGCGTGCTCGACTGCGGGCGAGCGGGAGGGCCGGCGGGCGTTCTCACGCCTGTGCGTGCATCTCGGCATGCTTGCGCGCGTTCGTGCGCACACTCTGAGAGCTCACAGTCCCGCTGCACTCTGAGATCAGTTTTGCTTCATAATTTTCCGTTTCACCACATGTGCGTGTAGTGTTGTTAGCGGCTCTTGTTTAGCGGCGCCTTTCTCGGACGCTGTGCAACCCTTGCATAAGCCCTTCATGATTTTCGTGTCCGCTGTGCATGTGTTTGCTTTGCGTCGCGCTCGGGGCCGCTGGTTGGATTCGCAGTCCGTCGGGAGGGCATTGGAACCACCCACAGCTCATCCTTCAACCCCCGCGGCCGCCTGAAACCCTAAACGCCCTAAACCATCCTAAACCCGAAAGCCCATAAAGATCATAAAACCCTGCATGCAGGTCTTCGGGTGCCCAAGGTGTGGAAGGCACCACCACCTGGTGCTGCCTCGGGGTCTGCCTTTGCCGCCGTCAAGCATTTTCTCTTCGGGGAGTCCGACCCTTCCCACGCTGAAGCCGCTGAAGCCGCTGAAACCGCTGAAGCCGCTGAAGACCCACTCTCCCTGGCTTTCCCAGAGGACTTTTACATGCGCCCTGCCTGAGATCATGCTTGGATTTTGCAAAAGCTGTGTGTGCTCCCTACTTCCCGGACACACTGCCGAGGAATGACTTCTCTGTTCGAGAAGCTTCGGTGAAGGTGAGGGGCGCGGAGGCCAGCGATGGCTAGGGTCCACGCAGTTTTCATTTTATCGTTCCTTGTAGGAGGGGATGTCGGTATGGGGGAGGGGGGGGACCTTTAGCCCTATTGCAGACGGCCGCCGTCGTCAAGACCATGCGACTGCACGAGCCCGACACTGAGAAGTTGGCAGAGCGGCTGCGACAGATCAAGGGCATCCAGGACACACGGGGCTCGAGGAAGCCTACAAGGGCTTGTGGCCCATAAAAAGGGATTATGGTAGTACGAGATATATCAGTGCCGCCGACCCCCAACACACGACTTTGAGGCGGTGGGGGGGTTGGAGGGTGGGGGGTTGGGGGGGCGGGGTAGGGTAGCGAGCAGGGTGGGGTAGGGGGGTAGGCGGGCGGTCATGGGGGGGGGGGGGAGGGGTGGGGTGGGGGCGGCGAGGTGGTCACGTGGGGGGTGGAGGGGGGTTGGGTGGGGGGACAGCACAAACACTTCATTTCAAGGTGCGTGGCGACTGGGCGATGACTGGATGACCGGATGACCGAGAATGGGTTTTCACTAACGCCGCGAGGGGTCGGCGGATAACTGGAAACGCCTCGATAATTCGTCAGTGAGCAATCAATCTTCATGAAAGGGCCCTAAAGATGAGGGGTATAGGTTTATAGGGTTTCTGGCTTATTAAGATTTCGCGGGTTTAGGGTTTCGGGCGTATAGGGTTTTGAGCTATACCCTGGGCTCGAAGTCAGACATCTCGCGGTGTTTGTGGCGGCAGGGGCTTCAGCACGATAGCCTTGTGAAGATCTTCGACGTATACGCCGTCAAGCCAACGATGATACGTGCCTTTGACTAGATTTGCTCGTCGGTTTCTGTGGTGACTACAACCAGGCTCGCAATCCCTAGATCTTTCACAGCAGGGCGGAGAAAGAGTCGCGTTTTTCGCACAGATCTTACACCAAACCAAATCAAGCATTGCAGAGTGGAACATGCAAAGCAGACATGCAGCAGGGATTTCAACTGTGATTTTTTTGGAGCAAGCAATGCACTCAACACACACGCACCTCACCCGCAAGGTCCCCTTCAAACCCCTCCCAAAAACACAAACAAACAAACACAAACAAACAAACACACACAAACAAACACACACACACACACACACACACACACACACACACACACACACACACACACACACACACACACACACACACACACACACACACACACACACACACACACACACACACACACACACACACACACACACACACACACACCCCCACACACACACACACCCCCACACACACACACACACACACACACACACACACACACACACACACACACACACACACACACACACACACACACACACACACACACACACACACACACACACACACACACACACACACACACACACACACACACACACACACACACACACACACACACACACCCACGCACACACACACACACACACACACACACACACACACACACACACACACACACACACACACACACACACACACACACACACACACACACACACACACACACACACACACACACACACACAAACCCACCCACACACGCACACATGCACACACGCACACACGCACACACGCACGCACACACGCAGCACACACGCAGCACACACGCAGCACACACGCAGCACACACGCAGCACACACGCAGCACACACGCAGCACACACGCAGCACACACGCAACACACACGCAGCACACACGCAGCACACACGCAGCACACACGCAGCACACACGCAGCACACACGCAGCACACACGCAGCACACACGCAGCACACACGCAGCACACACCCAGCACACACGCAGCACACACGCAGCACACACGCAGCACACACGCAGCACACACGCAGCACACACGCAGCACACACGCAGCACACACGCAGCACACACGCAGCACACACGCAGCACACACGCAGCACACACGCAGCACACACGCAGCACACACGCCGCACACACGCCGCACACACGCCGCACACACGCAGCACACACGCAGCACACACGCAGCACACACGCAGCACACACGCAGCACACACGCAGCACACACGCAGCACACACGCAGCACACACGCAGCACACACGCAGCACACACGCAGCACACACGCAGCACACACGCAGCACACACGCAGCACACACGCAACACACACGCAGCACACACGCAGCACACACGCAGCACACACGCAGCACACACGCAGCACACACGCAGCACACACGCAGCACACACGCAGCACACACGCAGCACCCACGCAGCACCCACGCAGCACGCACACACGCACACACGCACACACGCACACACGCACACACGCACACACGCACACACGCACACACGCACACACGCACACACACGCACACACACGCACACACACGCACACACACGCAAACACACGCAAACACACGCAAATATAGGGGTGCGCGAGGGTATGTTAAGGCATTGTCCGGACATCTTTTGTGTTGCCGAAAACCCCATGCATTCTGCCAAGAGCATTTTGAGAGGCAAACGAGGCTTACAAGTAGATTGCCAAATGTCGGATGTCGCGGTAGATTGCCAAAATCCAGATGTCATGGTAACAAAAGGCTTGGCGCAGTACAGCCCCATACATATCGCCAAGAGCATTTTTAGAGGCAAACAAGGCTTACAAAGTACATTGCCAAATTTCGGATGTCACGGTAGATTGCCAAAATCCGGATGGAGGTGGTGGTTTGGGAGAGTGCTTAGCCTCTCTAATGCTTAGCATGTTGGGTAAGAGAAAGGAATCGGGGGTCCGGGTAGCTTTGGGAGGGGGTCGAAGGTGATAGGTAGTTGGGGGTTTGCTTTTGGGTTTTTGATAGGTAGTTGGGGTTTTCTTGTGGGTCTAAGGATAGGGGTGCGCCTGCAGAAGGTGATAGGTAGTTGGGGTTTTCTTTTGGGTCTAAGGATAGAATAGGGGTGTGCCTGGAGAAGGTGATAGATAGGTTGTCATGAGGGCCAAGGTGGTTTGCACCACAACACTCAACACGAAATAAAGGGATGAGGGGTTTAGGGTTTATAGCACCCTAGGGTTTAGCGCCCAGACCAGTGGAACCGGGGGATGGGGTGCTGATTGCTTACTTTCTGGATTTTTTTTGTGTTGATGGGACCCCAAATTGAATCCTCAACCCTGACCCTAAGCCGGTGTGGGGGGTTGGGGGTGGGTGTTGGGTGGGGTGGGGGTTGGGTGGGTAGTGGGGGTTGGGGGTGGGGGCTTGAGGCCGAACGACCACCCAAGACCAAGGTTTTCAACTGTGCGCGCGCAATTGCGTACGAGCACACGTTTTTCTGCAAACCAATGTTTGGTGTCAAAAGTTTGGCGGTGTCAAAAGTGGTGCTTGAAGTGGTGCCAAAAGTGGTGGTGTCACAAGCGGTTTTGGTGTCAAAAGTTGTGGTGTCAAAAGTGGTGTCAAAAGTTGTTCGTGTTTAAAGGGGAGGTGCTTTTGACACCCTTTTGACACCAAAACAGCTTTTGACACCACAACTTTTGACACCAAAACGGCTTTTGACACCACCAAACCTTTGACACCACCAACTTCAAGCACCACTTGTGACACCAAAATCGTTTTTGCACCAAGACGCGCGCATCAACGCAAAGAGCCCACAACCCAGGAAAGACCCAAAAGGAACCCTGCACCCTAAACCCTAAACCCCAAACCCCTAAACCCCAAAACCCTAAACCCCGAACCCTAAACCCCCAAACCCTTCACCCCATTTTTGTGTCGCGGTGCAAACCACCTGGGCCCTCATGACGACACCCTGCACCCCAAACCCCAAACCCCTAAATCCCTAAACCCTAAACCCCCAAACCCTAAACCCGCAAACCCTAACCCCTAAACCCCCAACCTAAACCCCAAACCCCTAAATCCTAAACCCCTAAACCAACTCCCCCGACCCAACCCCCCCACCCACCCAAACCCTCCACCGAAACCCCCCCGCCTGCACCCTCATGACGAAACCCTCACCCCAAACCCTAACTGTTAACCCCCAAACCCCGAACCCTTAAATCCGAACTAGAAACCCTAAACCCTACATCCTACACAGCCCTGGTAGAGTCCATCCGCTGGCTAATCTTGAGCCCTCAGCCGAACCCCCCGCCCCCCAAACCCCCATCCCCTCAAGCCCTTATCAAAAAAACGATGTTGCAACATCGCGTGGTGCTTTCCATGTAAGCCCAAAAACCCTAAACCTCCAACCCCCCCAACAAAAAAAACCATAAAAACCCTCAAGCGCTAGCGAAAATTCTGCGGTCTGGCCCTAGTAGCCACCCCCTATATAAAGGATCCACAGATCTAACAAAACAGGTGTCGCGATATCGCTTGGTGCTTTCCATGCGGTGTTTTCGCATTTTGAAATGTCGCAAAAAACACTGACACAGCCAGAGCGGCACCCGCAAACTATGCTAGCCGCAATTAACATACCTCACGCACCCCTATACACGCAAACACACACAAACACACGCAAACACACGCAAACACACGCAAACACACGCAAACACACGCAAACACACACGCAAACACACACGCAAACA